AGAGGTAATTAAGGTAAAATGAGGTCACACTGGAGGTATGGGTGGTCCCTAATCCAATATACTGATGTCCTCATAAGAAGAGGAGATTAGAACACAGACGTGCAAGCACACAGAGGAAAGACTACTTGAATACATAGCATGAAGGTGGTCATCTACAAGCCAAGCAGAGAGGGCTTCAAAGAAACCAAAACTACCAAAACCATGATCTTGAACTTCTAGAGTCCAGAACTATAGAAAAATAAATTGTTTAAGCCACCCAGCCCAATCTGCAGCATTTTTTCATGGCAGCTCTAGCACACTAATATATCCACATTGTTACACATATCAACGGTTTGTTCTTTTTTTCTTTTTCTTTTTTGTGACTGGTAAGGGGATCGCAACCCTTGGCTTGATGTTACCCGCACTGCGCCGAACCCGCGGCGGGGCAGCGCCGCACTCTCCTGAGTGAGCCATGGGGTCGGCCCCAGTTTGTTCTTTTGATTGCTGTGTGGTATTTAATTGTATGAATATCATAATTTATCCACTGTGTTATCACAGACTTTTAAGCTATTTCCAGTTTTTAGCTACTATGAGTAAAATTACCATGAACATTCTTGCATGTGTCTTTTGGGGAATGTGCATTTTATTGAGTATATACCTACAAGTGGAATTGCCGAGTCATTGGGTTTCTATATGCTTAGTAAATAGATATTGCCAAACAGTTTTTCACAGAGGAAACACTAATTTAAAGCCCCTTCAGCAGTATGTGAAAGTTCCCATTTTTCACATTTTCTCTAACACTTGGTATTCCATTGTAGTAAGTATATAGTACCAATTCATGGTGTTTTTATGTTGCATTTTACTGATAACGGAATTGAGCATCTTTTCACATGTTTATTGGCCATTTAGATATCCACTTTTGTGACAATCTTGTTCTAGTCTTTTACCTATTTTTAAATTGGCTGTCTGTCTTTTTATTATTGATTTATGAGTTCTTCATACATTATGGACCTACCTAGTCCTTTGTAAATATCTTCTCTTTGCAGCTCACATTTTCATCGTTTTAATGGTATATTTGGATAAACTGTTCTTAATTTTAGTGTAGCTCATTTAACCAGTTATTTCCTTCATTAGTAATACTGTGGGGGTCTGTCTATCCCAAAATCATGTAAATACTTGCCTATGTTAGCAAACATCAGGAATCAACAAACATTTTCTGTAAAGGGCCAGATAAATATTTTAGGCTTCGTGGGCCACATGTATCTGTGTGGCACCTCTGCCACTGTAGTGCAAAAACTACCATAAACAACATGTAAATGAATGAGTATGACTTCGTTCCAATAAAATTTTATTTACAAAAACAGAAGCAGGCCAAATTTTGCCCACAGGCTATTGTTGCTGAGTTTTATTGATTTAATCCACCCAGACTTGATTTTGTAAATGGATGATGTAGAGAGACAAAATTTATTTTTTTCCCAATTAATCAAGTCACATTTATTAAAAAGACCATAGTTACTACATAGAACTGTACCATGGACATAAATCGAACGACTGTATATGTGTTGTGCTGCCTCTGAACTCTGGTTTAAGGATTTGGCTTTGCTTCTGCAATGTATTCTGTGGCCCTATCAACCTGGTACCACTTTAAGATGGTGTTTTCTGAAACATGAAAATTGTATATATTCTAATCTCAAACCTTTATGAATTCAGAGGACACTTAATTCCTAATAGAGTCAAGACTGAAACATACAATTTTGTTTCCTCGCTTTATTGGAAGGGCTCTTCCTAGTCTGCCCTTTTATTGACAGTGTAGCCTTCAGAAGGTCTAAAATTTTTGTGGGGGTACTGGTTGTAATTACCCCACCTTGTGCTGGCCTAAGATCTTGTCTTTTATCCTGGGAATGGCTGTTACCACCTAGATCTAGTTACCAAGTTGGGTAAATACCCTCAGGGAACCTGGGGCTTCACTATGTTTATTCTCTGGTTTCCCCCCTAATTTCCAGCTATTTTGTTTTGGCCCCTGGGGATTTCCTTTATTTTCTTTCATGCTCCTCTGTAGACTTAAGAGAATGTGTTATATTTTATACAAAGTTTCCAAGTGTTTTAGAAAAGGAGGGCCTGCAGAATAATTTGGAACCCAAAGTTGTTAATTCACTTTTCAGCTATGTTGGATATTTTGCCTAATTGCTGGAAGGAAAAGGAATTACCCTTTGTTTATACTTTAATCTCCCAAAGAAGTTAATATTTAATCCCATTAATGCTTTCCATGCTCTAAATTCTGCTCACCAGTGACCTCTTGCCTACCACTTGCAAGTTGAGAAGGGTGAGTCACTGCTCAGTTTTGTATGAGCCTGAGGTGTGATTAATTTCCTCCTAGATAAAAAACAAACTTCTAAGTAGTAACATAGAGTTACTATGAGACCCAGCAATTCTACTCCTAGATACATACCTAAGAGAAATAAAAATATATGTCTACAAAAAACTTGTACTTGAATGTTCATAGCAGCATCATTCATAATAGCTAAAAGGTGGAAGCCACTTAAATGTTCATCAGCTGAAGAATGGATAAACAATATGTAGTGTATCCATATAATGAAATATTATTTGGCCACAGAAAGAAATGAAGCTTGAAATATAGGCTACGACATGGATGAACCTTGGAAACATTATGCTAAGTGCAAGATGCCAGTTACAAAAGATCACATGCTGTGTGAGTCCATCTAGAACAGGAAACTCTATAGAGACAGAAAGATTCGTGGCTGCTTAGGCTTGGGAGGCTGGGGGACAGCCAAGGGTAGAGTGTGAAGGTGACAGTCAAAGGGTAGAGTATGAAGTCTCTTTCTGAGGTGATAAAAATGTTCTAAAATTGACTGTGAGCAATGGTTGTATGAACTAAAAACCATTGAATTGTATATATTATTTGGGTAAATTGTGAGGTATGTGAATTATATCTGAATAAAGATATTTAAAAAAATATAAGTGGACACAGGGACAGCCTATTTTCTCAGTGTCCCATAGTTGCTCTATGGCTCATGAACAAAACGGTTGTGTGAAAGGGATAACGGCTATGTATAGACTCAACAATATGGACTCCCTCTTATCAAAGTAGCATTGACACGGCTGAGTGTCCAATTTCCCAGTAAGGAAGCCCAATGCTGAACCTCTAGTATAGTGCTATGTACTCCAGGAGCTTTCATCTCCCACCTGGTTGCAGCTAGATTTTTTTTATTTGCTAATTTCTTCCAACAGAGATGGGGTAAGAAACACTGGAACAGACACTCTTCTGGTTATAGATTTTCTTTGCTGCTTCAATGCTTTTATCAGCAGACTACCCTCCCCCCCCACACACACATGGATGGATGTAGTGAATGCCTCACTCATTAGCACAGTATCCCACAACACACTGCTTATGACCAAGAAATTAAGTTAACGTGGAAGAAGTGAAGCAAGGTCTCATACCCACAGGAATATTTGGCTTACTGTATATCCCACCACTTAGCAATTCCTGCCTTTATAAAAAGGAGAAATAGATAATTGAAAACTCAGCCTGAGAGACACCTTGTGGGGTGGTATGAATTGGTATGCACACTAAGCCTGTGACCAATATATGTTACTATTTCTTCCAGAGACAGAATTCACTGCTCTAGGATACAAGAATGGAAGTGAGAGAGGCGATCTCATTATTACACCTGGTGACACACTCATGACATTTTTTTGTTTCCTATATGCTTGACCTTTAATTCTGCTGGTTTATAACAAAAATGGTTTCAAAGAATTGGAAGCTGAGGCTACCTTCTTACCATTTGGAGCTCCCTGTGCCATTTAACCAACAAAGAGAAAATGAGGTTCTTGTATCACCTAGGGTGAGTAGTTATGATTATCAAGGGGAAATCGAGTTGTTATAAATACAACAAGATCAGGTAGAAGGATGCTTGGTATCCTCTGCTGTGCCTCTTAGAACTTCTATATTCAGTGATAAAAAATAACGTAAGATTAAGTCAAGTTAACACAGGAAAGACCAAAAGGACTCCAACTCCTCATGAATGAAGAGCTGAGGTGCTGGCTGAAAAGGAAGTGAATGCCGAGTTAATAACGAGGACAGAAGTTATAAATATTAACTACAGCTTCATGACTACTTGCAATTATGAAGATTGTGGTAAATACCCATATTTTCTTTCCTGTTCTGTTATGCATGTCTTTATAATATACATTAAACACTTTCTTTTTTTCTCTCTCCCTTTTCTCTACTATGTTACACAAGGTAAGGTGGTAATGGTTAATTTTATAATTTATGTCTTAAATTATATCTTATTCTGTGATTATGACTAAACATCATTCGGAAATAGTCTCCCCTTTCAAGGAGCAACTAAAAGTCTTAATTTCTCAACAGAAAATTTTCTAACATGGGTATTTTCAGGAACTTAACCCTCAGATTTGGGAAGGAAGTAGGGCGATCTGACTTCTTTTCTGCTGTCTAAAAATCTTTTTTTTTTTTTTTTTTTTTAAAAAATTTTTTTTTTTTTTTAAAAAATTTTTTTTTTTTTTTAAAAAATTTTTTTTTTTTTTTAAAAAATTTTTTTTTTTTTTTAAAAAATTTTTTTTTTTTTTTAAAAAATTTTTTTTTTTTTTTAAAAAATTTTTTTTTTTTTTTAAAAAATTTTTTTTTTTTTTTAAAAAATTTTTTTTTTTTTTTAAAAAATTTTTTTTTTTTTTTTTTTTTTTTGCAGGTAGCAATCTGGCTTCATGAGAGACTCAAGGCTCTTCAGATAACGCAGCAGAAGTTGAATCCTGACTTGAGGAATACAGGTCATGAGAATTGAGGCTAAAGCCTCTATACCTTGATTGCCTGGGCTGGGAAAATGGGGTAATAAATGCTATTTCCTAGAGCTGTCCTGAGAATTAGAGCCAATGAGATGATGCTGCAGAGCTCAGCAAACCACAGGGCCTGGGACCTAGGGAGGCTCTGTGAGGACTGTTCAAGGGCAGGAAGCACAAAAGGAAGGAAACTCCAGGGAACTCACTTTCCCACCAGGGAGTGAAGCGGCGTGTCATGCTCCAGGCTGAGTGGCTTCCCGCCGAGGCCGTCCTCACCCTCCCGTAGTAAGGTTCCTGGACGTCTGAGGTTTCATTGGTAAGGTCGCAAGAGAGTTCTTGAATACCCCAACAGTCCTCTTTGCTTTTCCATTTTCTCTGTCCATACCTGTAGAAGGGAAGAGACCAAGCTCTGAGTTTCTTTTGTCCATTAAAGGCATCTTCAGTTTTTTCAGTCTCTTACTAATTTTTTAGACTGGGTGAAACCGTCCTCTAATATCAGTACCACTGTGTGTGAAAGCTTTTTGGCAACTCTTCGGTGTCTTTTTACAAATTCCTTAGAGTTAACCACAGCTACCTTGTGGAAAGATAAACTCAACCCTGACACCTTCTCTATCCCTAACATAAGGATTTTAATTTTTCTAATACCCAGCCAGTGTTGCTTCTGAAGCATGGACCAACTTCCATTTTTGAGTACTTGCTTTCCACATCCTTAATGCTCTGAGGTTTCAAGTCTTTGTGGTTTTTTTCCCCACTTCTCGTCAGCTTGCTGTTGAGTAATGTAGCTGATTCTGAGAAGTGGCTGCAACTTGGCATCTCAGGTGATGCTTACTCAACACACATGATTAATCTCTTTATTGCCAAGTGAGCAGAGGTTGTAGTGAGGGCTATGTAGACAGCCCCGTAAGTAGGAGCTGGGAGAGAGGGAGGGAAACCCATGAGAAAAGGTAGTGAGGCAATGAGGCGGATAGGCTGACTCAGCCTGAGACCACGGGATGGTGAAATAGCCAAAGGGAAGAGTAGTGCTTCACCTCCTAATGGTTCATAAATTAGAGCAAAGGCAGTAGGTGACGGCGGTGAGGAATTGGGGACCGGGAGAAAGGTTTTCTAAAATATTTGTTGAAGGACTTGAAATCTAACTTTCTAGCCATACACTGAAAACGTTGCTGGTATCTGTACTCTGTAATCTACTTAATGACAGCAGTTTCATTATATCAGAATTAAAGCAGAACCAGCAACATATACTGAGCACCATTTGAGATTTTTAAGTTGTGTTTATTGATAAGACATTGTCAGCTTAACTGAGCTGTAATAACTGGCTTTTCTTTTAATATGATACCTCATTTTTTGTCCTATCTCAAATGGGACAAATAGTAACAATATACCCACACAAGCTATGTACAACCAAAGTGAAAGTTTTCAAAATTATAAATCTGCATTGTGCTATTGAAAATACCATATAGACAGGAAAGAATCCAGTTATTCTAGGTCCAAAATTTATATAAGCTTGGGAGCCCTCTTTAAGAAAAGAATTACAAATATAAACTTCTTCCATGGGGCTCTGAAGTTTAATCTTCATTAGCTTCATGGTAAACAGCTTCTAATCACTTGTTTCTTTGGACCACAAATAGGTCCTCTTTGGACCTACTTATATTACCTAAGGGGGAGAACAGAGAGAGTACCAATCTCTATTTCCTCTATGCTGAAAGCATCTCCAACTATGCCCAAATCTATTTTTGTAATGGAGAAACCTTTATTGTAAAGACTCGTAAATTTTGTAGTTGCTACACAAAATATGCAGAGAAAAGCAGTTAAAGACTGAGAAACTTCTGGGGATAATCCTTCTGAAATTAATTAGTAAAATAATTAGTAATAAATTAATTAGGAAAATCTGACCTAGGATCTACTCCACGCTGGAGGAACATGGATGAATTTATGTAATAAAAATTGCTATTTTGACTCATACTTGCATCTGATTTTCTGAATTTCTAATGAAAAACCATGAAACCTAAACCGTATATCTCCTGTCTCATGCTCAGCCAGCCTGTCAAACTATGTCAGAGGAGGAAGAGCCTCCAGGAAATCTAGGAGTGGAAAAACTTGCCATTTTCAAATCAGAAGTGTCAGTTTCCAGGCCTTGATCCAGGAAAGGAGTACATTTTATCTGAGTGTTGGCAATGATCCAGCAGGACCAGCCTGAAGATCACAGGAGAGAAACATGCAGCAGCATGTTCCAGTTTGTGTTTATGCTTGCAGGAATCATTAATTTTTTAAAAGAATTTTAAAAATAGTAAGCCCCACTCTAAAAAAATGAATTTCATGTTAAAAAAATATTTTACACGCTCACCTCTATGTTAACCACCATTTCTTTTTCAATTATCAGGAGTTTTGCCTTAATTGAGAACTGACTATGTGTGAAACAAGTCGCTTGCATTCATTTGACAGGTGTGTTTTGAGAGTCTACCATGTGTCAGGCACTGTCATGGAGCCAAAGGTCGAGCCTATAAGATGTAGGGTTGAAGTGTCTGCCCAAAAGACTGCACATCGCTTGTGTTTGAGTCCCCATGCAGCTTCAGGGGAGACAAGTCACTTGTGTCTCTACCTCTGCCTCTTCTCAATCCCTATGAAGCTGAGAACAGCTCAGATCCTAACACTCCATTGCATTCTAGAACGTGTTATCCCAGTGGCCATCTCTACCAGCTGGAGGCAGCTCAGTCTACTTACATTTTGTATTGCACAAAATAGACACTGCTGTTGCCGGTAAGCACCCTCCCAGGCTGCCAGCGCAAAATGTTGTGAAAATTCCGGGACTGAAATTGTACCCTCTGAGGCTTCAGAGATTCATGGGCTGGCTGAGTTCCTAAAATAATAGGAGAAGGAAAAACATCGAACGTCCATTTGAGCACCATTGTTATTAGCAGTAGATTTCAGTGTGATGCGTGCATCAGGATTCTCTGAAGTAGTTCTAAATGCAGGGGGTGGGGTAGAGCCCAGAAATCAGTATTTTGAATCTTTAATGAGATGATTTTGATTCAGGCTAAAGTTTCGGAACAATGTGTTCCAGATTATAAAAACATACAGGATATCCTCCCACCCTATTTCCCAAACTGTAGAGAGGAGACGAAACATTGTCCTTAGTTCCTTCCCAGATAGTGATGGGATATAATGGCTGAGATGAAAGATCTTCACTAAGGCCCGCTCATCCACCTTCCTGGGAACCACTGTATTACCACTACTCCAAGGCAAAATTTGCCTGGGATCAATTTTGGCTCCAGGACCTCAGCCCAGTGCTCGCTTCCACCTTTCTCAGGTTCTCGTTCAATCTCTGGGTCCTGCCTCTGGGTGGGTCTGCCTTTATTGTCCCTCTCCTGAATGGCTGTGCTCGCCTGCCTGCATCCTGGCTCCCCGTGGCAAGCGTAGCTGCTCAGATGAACTAGCCCACACTAAGGAGGGCGACTGCCCAAGTCCCTGCTGCAGGGCTGAGTGTTTCTGAGAACAATCATGGCAGGAGAGGGGATCACTCTGCCCTGGCATGGCTTGTGCTTTCTTCCTCAAATCACGTGACATAGGCGTCCCAGCCTTATGTGCATTTAGTCCCAGGGAGGCAAGAGACCTTTGGCAAGTTTTATTCTAGGGTCCAAAGTTTCTGATAAGGGATTAGAACTTGGGCAGAAGGAGGGGTCAGGAAGCATGTCCTCTGCTTTCTCCCTGACCTCATCTTCTGGCACTCTCCCTCTTGCTTCTCTAGAGTGGTCCCCCTGCTCCTGCTCCACCATGCCAGTGATGATCCCACCGTAGGGTTTCTGCATTGGTGCTTTGCTTTTCCCGGACTACCCTGCCCCTGGATTTCCATGTGGCTCATTGCACCACTTCCTTCAAATCTTTGCTCAAATATCACCTTACTGAGATGGAAGAAAATACTCAAGCCATGATCTCAGCTTTGAACTTTCAAGATGTGTTATTTTCTAATGAATGGGGCTGTTTCCTCAGCTATTTTTTCTTCCCAACCAAATAGTGTTAATACTGTTATTTTTTCTTTTGTTTTTATCTTTATTTTTTGGACTTCCTTCCGGGCAAGAGTGTGTTTCACAGTTGAGTTAGCTCATCAGAATCATTACCTGACCAATCAAATTTAGTACATGAAAATTCGAGAAGTTCTTAGGAGGTGATAGGCACAATTTCCTACAGACCTGCCTAGAGTTGATTGGCTAACCTGAAGACAGATGGCTCAGTACCCTCTTATCTCTTCTGTCTGGAGATTTCTTCTCTCATTCTTTTACCAATACCATTGCTACCACCACTGACAATGATAACAACTGACCTTGCGCCAGGCATGGGGGGACTTTTGTCTGCATTGACCCACTTCATTTGCTCAGCTCTTCTGTGAGAAAGGTGCTATTGTGGTCTTCCTCTTACAGACTAAAAAACTAGGCTCAAAGAGGTGAAGAAACTTGCCCATCAGCAAATGGGTGTGCTGATTTTGTACCTGGCAGTCTGACCCCAGAGCCTTCCTCTTACCTACCCTAGAAAACCAAGAGCAAGTCCTCGGCAGAGAGGAGCTCAAGGAGGCAGAGCAATCGGAGGCTGAGGATACTGTTTCTCTGCCTCCTTCTCCCCCCTCCTCCTTCTGGCTGTCATTCTTTGAACATTGAACATATATGAACATCAGACATATGTTAGGCACTGTGCTCAAATACTTACAACTTATTGAATTCCTACAGCCACCAAAAAAGGTAAGTAATTTTATTACTGCATTTTATAGATGAGGAAGCTGAGGCTTTAAGATGTTGTGTATCTTGCCCAAGGTTACAGGCCAGGTAAGATGCAGAGCCAGGATCATTTTGGTGGCACTTGAATTCCTACCATAGTTTGCTAAACAATTCCTTGTAGTTATCAAGGACCAGAGGCATAGTCTACTCAATTCCACACATTTCTGGAAGATGGAGGCTTAAATTACTTTTATGTAGCAGTCACTGGACAACTGTGTGGTCTTGGAAAGTTCCTTGAACCACTTACACTGACTGGTAGCCATTGCTAACTTGGGATTCTTTTTTTTTTTTTTTCCTTTTTGTCTTTTTTCGTGACCGGCAACGGATCGCAACCCTCAGTGTTGCGCCCGTACCGGACTGGGACCGGCAACGGGATCGCAACCCTCGGTGTTGCACCCGCACCTCGTTCAGCCAGTGAGCGGCCAGTCTGTATGTGGGATCCGAACCCTCGGCAGGAGCGCCGCCGCGCTCCCAAGCGGCACACTGTAGCAGTGCGCCACCGGGCCAGCCCTAACTTGGGATTCTAATAGCCTTACTCACAGGTATGTGGTTAGAAGAAGCTCTACACTTTTGAAGAGTTCTCCACGAATATCAATAGAAAATTCCACATGTTGTTTATGGCCCCTATTCTGTGCCAGGCACTGCTCTAAGAATTTGACATACATCTGATATTAGACAAAGGCAACAAAAATCTACATTGGGGAAAAGACCGCCTCTTCAACAAGTGGTGCTGGGAAAACTGGATATCCATATGCAGAAGAATGAAACTAGATATGCATCTCTCACCATACACTAAAATCAACTTGAAATGGATTAAAGACCTAGGTATAAGACCTGAAACCACAAAATTACTAAGGGAAAATACAGGTGAAACACTTCAACAGTTTGTTCAGGGCATGGGCTTTATGAACATGAGCCCGAAAGCACAAGCAGCAAAATAAAAAATAAACAAATGGGAGTATATTAAACTAAAAAGTTTCTGCACAGCAAAAGAAACAATCAACAGTGAAAAGACAACCTACAGAGAGGGAGAAAAATTTTGCCAACTATGCATCCAACAAGGGACTGATATCCAGAATATACATAGAACTCAAGCAATTATACAGTAAAGTAAATAAATGACCCAATTAAAAAATGGGCAAAGGAGCTGAATAGACATTTTTCAAAGGAAGACATACAAATGGCCAACAGATACATGAAAAAATGCTCAACATCACTAGTCATCAGGGAAATGCAAATTTAAACCTCATTGAGATACCACCTCACTCCAGTTAGACTGGCTATGATGAAAAAGACGATGAATAACAAATGCTGGCGAGGGTGTGGAGAGAAGGGAACACTCCTGCACTGTCGGTGGGACTGAAAATTAATACAACCACTTTGGAAAACAATTTGGAAGTTTCTCAAACAACTATAGATAGATCTTCCATATGATCCAGCAATCCCTCTTCTGGGTATATACACAGAGGAATGGAAATCATCATGTCAAAGAGATACCTGCACTCCCATGTTTACTGCAGCTCTGTTTACAATAGCCAAGATATGGAACCAACCTAAATATCCATTAATAGATGAGTGGATAAGGAAACCGTGGTATATATAAGACTATGGAATACTACTCTGCTATAAGAAAGAATGAAATACTCCCATTTGCAACAACATGGATGAACCTGGAGAAACTTATGTTGAGTGAAACAAGCAAAGCACAGAGAAATAAACAGCTCATATGCTCACTCATATGTGGGAGCTAAGGGAGAAAGAAGGCAGGAAAGACCACAGTAGTGCCGTGATCCAACAGAGGGAGGGAACATTCCTAGGGCTACAAATTGGAGTTGAGGAGAGAAGGGGAAAGAGAGGGAGGTTGGGGGATAATTGGAAGTGGACAAAGGGTACAAAATTAATTTCTGGTAATGGGTATGCCCCAGTATGAATCTGGTCCCCACATCATGGGCAGGAGGGAAGACAATCAGCTTTGTATCTCATGAATATTTGCAATAAGTAAGTAAGTAAGTAAGTAAGTAAGTAAGTAAGTAAGTAAGTAAGTAAGTAAGTAAGTAAATAAATAAAAAGAATTTGGCATATGCTAACTCATTTGATCTTCATAGTGACCTACAGTCCCCATTCAACAGATGAGGGATATTGAGGCACAGATGTGTTAAATAAATTGCCCAAGTTTTTCTAGATAGCAATTGGCAGAGTTGAAACGCAGACTCTAGCAGCTAATAGTCTGGTTTAGGAGCCTGTGCTCATAACCACTGTGTTGTATTGTCCCTTCAAGGAAAAAGAAATTCTAAAGAGAGAGAGAGATGGATGGACACTGGTCCTCCTCTTTAGTAGGTACTCATGGAGTTAAGTACATGTGGAGTTATTCAGGCTGCAGATAGAGACTGACCCCATGTCTGTTCTCAATATTTAGTGACGTAAGAAAGCTAAGATTTTTACAAAGCCCAGAAAAGCACTAGGGATGTTTCTAACAGTCCCTTGACCAGACTCAGATGACAAAGGTGGGAGCAATTAAAAAGACATAAAGCACTTACCTGTTACCGCAGTCAGGAAGAAACTGACGAGGAAGCCTAGAAAGCAATGTTTAGGCGTCATGGTTGCAAGTGTGACTGATCGGAAAACCAGTGTTTCCTTCCATGAGAGGACAGCTCAGGACAGAAGAGGAAACTATAAAATCCACAAACCGAACATCCCTCCTGGGTTTAACCAAAGGTTGTGGGTGCAACTACAATCTTGCTTTGTTACTGCATTATATTATTATTTTAGGGAAATTATAAAAGTCTTAGAATTACTTCAAAAAAACTTGCTGTAAGTCACTATTACATGGAAGGTTTTTTTTGTTGTTTTTTGTTTTGCTGGGGCTTCATTAGCTGTGGAAAGGCAAAACACTGATGATGGGCAGACCTGGAGGGCAGGGTAGGGCAGAGATTGTGCAAGCTGCATGCAGGTGAGGGAATGAAACAACTCATGGGGCCTTAGGGGAATCTGGCCCCAGGAGGCAGAGAGGCTGCCAGGACCAGGACTTGACTGACAGGGTGACTGAGTAATGGGGTGGCAGGAATAGCTATCAGAGCCCCCGGCAGTGGTTCAAAGCAGGTGAGGTCTTTCACTGGTTCTTCCTTTTCCTCCCTTTTCGGTCGCTCCCGGGTGAACCTCCCTGGTGTGACTTGTACCCTCCCACACCCACTGGCTGTCCATGGGGCTCTCTGCCTTCCCCACCCCCAGTGGCCCTGGGCCCCACTCTACTAGTGTCTCTTCCTTTTCCATACTCACCCCTGGTTTCTAGCAATCTGGATAAAGATTTTGAGCCTGTTGAACCAAATGATTCCTTAAAAGGATGAATGTGGAGGGCAATCATTTTGAGCTATATTAGATATTTTTCATATCTTCTTTGAAATCTGATTGAACTAAGTCATCTGTTCTTTGCTCATGATTCATTATATTGCTTTTTCTTACCAGATTTTTTTTACCACGTAGTTTTAGAGGTACTAAAATAATACATTAAAGCACAAGAAAGTCATAAAGATTTTCTTTTGTTAAAAAAAGAGGCTCTTTTGGTCAAAAGAAGAAATGAATTCTGGCTCCCTTCTCTTGTGTAGTCTCTTTCAAGTTCTTGGTAGAATAGCCTCTTTAGTAAGGAATAGTGATGGCTGCTGAGCAGTTATTCAACCTTCCATCCATCCATCCATCCATCCATCCATCCATCCATCCATCCATCCATCCATCCATCCATCCGATAACTTTTAACACATATATGCAGCCCTACCTCAAACTAGGCATTGTTCTCAGCAGCAAAAGTGCAGCAGCAAGACAGATAGACATTGCCCCTGCCTTCCTCCACTTCTGAAGGGGGAAATGACAATAAGGAGCTAAGGCAGGGCTGTGACTTCTATTCATCTCTCCTTCCTGACTCTTCTTCTTAAATGGCAAACAAAAAGCCACTTTGCCTCCACCTCCATCGCAAAGATTAGCCACGACTAGAGCTGTGAGGGGAAAGAGAAAAAATGGAAGAGTCGAAAGGTCAGAGATGGAGGCAGAGTCTTCAAAGAGAGAGGGGAGGACCACCTTCTGTATGGAGAAAGGATCAGAGGGGAAGTTGTTCTCAAGTGTAGACCCCCACCCCAACCCCATGTCCCAGCATCTGTGGACAATTCAAGATACTTGGGTGCCTGGGACTGTGAAGCCTGCATGGAGCTGTGCACGGAAAAGCTTGTTCCTGAATCAATGTGTTTTGGAACAGAGCCTGTTGGGAATTTCCTCAAGGATCAGATCTTAGACCAGGCCGCTACCATCGTCACATAACAAATTTCACAGTTATTGAGGACAGTTATGACTCAGTCTTTTGGAAACCAGAACTGTATGGACAGGCTTACGAAGATAACACCAGATTTTTCTGCATCTCTTTGCTCTGTCACTCTTCTGAATCCAGACTCCTTACTTCTTCCAAGTGAAGCTTTCATTGCTTATATGGTAACATATGCTTTGAAAGAAGAAGCCCGCAGCATATCTTACATTCCCTGTTCACCTTCTTGGTGCACCTTGTCTTCCAGGCTTTTCAGCATCATGTTTTGCTTACACTTGAACTCTGTACTTGGCATTAATTTTGGTTTTTAAATGGGGGATGATAATCTGGGTTTGAACTATTGATGTTCAATATCTTCAACACCAATAGATCTTGTTTCGAAGCAACCAAATTGTGTCAAGTTCCAGTTAGAAAAAAAGAAAAATATTTTTAATTCAAGGTTTTATATGCAGAGAAGCAGAGATTGAAATTGAGGTTAACACTGGGTTACTGACTTTGGAGAATAAATAAGGGGAAATTGAGGGAAGGGGAAGATCGTGGAATACTTAAGAATTGACGTCTCCTCCAAAATGTGAGCTTTTGTGCTATGTTAAATTTCAGAAACCAAACTAGTCCTGTCACCATTCAGTGAGCTTTCTAATTGTGTAATATCATAACCTGTGTAAAAGCCAACACTGCCAGGAGGGCCTCAAGGTAGATGAAAAGATAAATTTAATTCTAATCTCCCATCAATTTGGAAGCAGAAGCGTTTGTACAGAATGTTCCCAATGAAATGCAATTTGGTTTTGGGAGTAAGAAAATTACAATTAACGTGGGGGGGGGGGGCTCTGCTCTGCTTTGCTTCAGTCATAATATGCTGGCTTCAGACTCCTTCCCTACCTTCCCCTGGGTCTCCCCGACAGCCCTGCCCCCCACCCCTCAGTAGGGAGAATCCACCTTAATGGTGACAGCGGATGCCTCTGTGGTGTTGTCTGGAGAGAACTTGCCTAAGCCCCTGCACTGGACAGACGTGATCTTCCTGCTTTCTCCTCAGGGCTTCCAACAGACCAACAGTTCATCTAAGTAAGGACTTATTAATTATATTTAGTTGTGATATGGGATTTTGGTTATTCTTTTTATTTTTTTTTTTAGAGATACATATCGGAGTACTACAGATGAAATTGTATTTCTGGGATTCACTTCAAAATAATAGAAGGGGTTGGGAAAGGGGGGTGACTGGCCACGAGCTGATAATTTTTGAAACTGGATATTGGGTACATGGAGGTTTATCATACTCTCTACTTTGGTATGTATTTAAAATTTTTCAGGGCCGAGCCCGTGGCGCACTCGGGAGAGTGCAGCACTGGGAGCGCAGCAGCGCTCCCGCCGCGGGTTCAGATCCTATATAGGGATGACCGGTGCGTTCACAGAGCTCACTGGCTGAGTGCGGTGTGGCCGGTCTCAAAAAGGACAAAATAAATAAATAAATAAATAAATAAATAAATAATAAAGTTAAAAAAAAATTTTTTTTCATAGCAAAGGAAGAAGATTTTTAAAGTTTATCTCCAAGATGTTATCTTCATAAAACTCCTTTTGGTAATTTTAATGCCATTTTAGTGTCAATAATAAGACAGTAATTATGGGGCAGCGTGTTAAGCTCTCTCCCTGTGTTTATTGTCTTAATTAATCCTTTCGACAAGCCTAGGAGGTTGGTATTATTATCCTGACATTACAGATGAAGGAAGTGAGACATAGAGAAGCTAAGAGAACCCGACTAAGGCTCTCTAGCAAGTACTGACAAAGGAAGGATGAAATCAGATCTGGCTGACCTCAGGGCCTGAGGAGTGTCCTACAATGACTATCGTGTTATTCTTCACTTGCAATATCCATTCCATAAAGGGATTGAATGATGTCAAAGAAGATTTAGCCATTCACTTCTCTAGTTATTTATTCACTCAAACAAGTGTCTGTTGAGCACCTGCCTATGCCCGGTACAGTGCTGGGCATCAGAGAGGCAGAAATGAGCAAGACAGCAGAGCCAGTCCTCATGGAGACTGCAGCATTTTCTTCAGCCAGGTCTCAGTAGCAAAGGGCCACATTTTCCTGTTGCTCTTTCAGAAAGGTGTTTAAAAACTGGTGTTCAGTGTTCCTTGTGTGGTCTTCATCGATGGGGGGTCAGATTGATTGTGTTTCTGCTCCAGGTTTGTCCCTCCTTCTATGATTTGGTAAGCAGCTGGGCATCTTCTAAAAGTTTCATCATGAACTAGAACTTGAACTTCACCCTTCCCTCCCTCAGACCTGTGAAAACCATAACCTGTAGTACGAACAATTGGGGAACTATTTGTTTTTTTCTTTTTTTGTTCATTGGGCCCCTCAACAACTCCACTGAGTAATTCCTATGATTTTTTTTTGTGTGTGTGTGTCTTTTTGTCTTTTTTCCGTGTCCGGCAATGAATCGCAACCCTCAGTGTTGCCCCCGTACCGGACCGGGGACCGGCGACGGGATCGCAAGCCTCGGCGTTGCTCCCGCGCCTCGCTCAGCCAGTGAGCGGGAGCTGGTCTGTACGTGGGATCCGAACCCTCGGACGGGAGCGCCGCCGCGCTTCCCAAGCGGCGCACTATCCAGTGCGCCACCTGGCCGGCCCTTCCTATGATTTTTAAGCCTTTAAGCAGTCCTGTATTCTGGAAATATCTGGAATGCAATTTAAAATAGTTTGTGGACTTGAATTCAGAAAAAAAGGAACTTCATTATTTAAACACAAGCAGTAAGCACAGTTGCTAACCTGACCAAGTTTAATTCTGAAACCGGTCTGTATGTGGGATCCGAACCCTCGACGGGAGCGCCGCCGCGCTTCCCAAGCGGCGCACTATCCAGTGCGCCACCTGGCCGGCCCTTCCTATGATTTTTAAGCCTTTAAGCAGTCCTGTATTCTGGAAATATCTGGAATGCAATTTAAAATAGTTTGTGGACTTGAATTCAGAAAAAAAGGAACTTCATTATTTAAACACAAGCAGTAAGCACAGTTGCTAACCTGACCAAGTTTAATTCTGAATGATTTTTGGGCTATGAACACATACATTATTTAAAATCTCCATTCATAGGACTTAGGGCTTCATTAAGTTAACTTTTTCTGCTCTTCGCTCCCGTTTTTCTGGATAAAAGACGCTTTGATTGATCTTGACCAAGGTCCTTCACTGACCTTGAAACCCCTGCTGGAGATCATCAGTCATTATGCCCATATACTAGCATACTCATGTGTGTTGTTTTGACCCTGGAAATAACTTCATTGCATAACCAGAATCCAACAGGCTGTCACCCTCTCTACTGCAACCACCTGGGTCCCTGCTAGCATCGCCTCTTGCGTGGGTTGTGGCCACGTCATCTT